TTAGCTGAAAGTTGGGCCATGAGGGTGATTTCTGTTCAGACCTGAGAGGTGGCCAAGGGCTTTAGTCTTGGGTTCATCTAGTCTTCTTCTGACCAGTAACCTTGGTTACTGGTCAGAATTTTTAAAAATATTGAGTTTTGTTCTACATTTTCTCCCATTCTATCTGGTATCTTCTAATGTCATTCCTTTCAGAGCAGTGGGTAATGGTACTTGGGTATCATCTAGTTTTTCTGGTCTCAGAATTATGGAGGCTGATGTTCCCATGGTCCATTAGTCCATTGGACTAATTGATTCCAAGTGTCTTCAGTTTTCATCACTGTTCTTTCCTCTGCACATGCAGAGACCAATAGTTGCACATTAGCTGGCCCATCATGAGCTTTTAAGATCCCAGTTGCAACTCAGCAAAGTAGGATATAGAACTTTTTCTTTGGGGACTGTGTTATACCAGTTGACCATGGTCCTGAGTCCCCTGGTCCAGCAACTTGTTGCCTCGGGTGTTTGGTAATGTCTAGGAAGTTTTCAACATTTTGTCCCCTATGCTCCATCACATTCATATGTGTGTTTGCAGCAAAGGTAAATACCCATGTATTCGTATCCTCTGTCAAACCCTTATATGTTTGTGGGCATACTCCCATTCTTCCTCCCATAACCTTTTAGCATTTGTATCTCTCCATATAGCTACCTATAGAGCACTGTTGTTGTAGGGTTGTATGTATAACAATATTTACCTCTATCCCCTTTAACCCTTGCATTCCTCCCTGTGTCTTCACCTGTCTTCATCATTTTCTGTGAATCTCTACCGTGTATATTGCCTTCCCTGTCCCCTGAGTTAACATGTGTCTACCCTCTAGTCCTGGAGTGACGCTGTAGGATAAGCACTGAACTGCTAACTGCAAGGTCAGCAGTTCAAAGCCACCAGCCATTCCTCAGAAATCCTATACAGGGTCACTATGAGTTGGAGCCAACTTAGTGGCACTTAAATAAAAACAACAACAACTCTCTAGTCAGTGAATTATTCTCCCTTTCTTCCCATCCCTGATAACCATCGAAGAATGTTTCTTTTTGCGTGAAACCACAATAGTGGTCTCATACAATAATTGTCATTTTGTGAATGACTAATTTGCAGTGTACTGCAAGGTTGGTTTGAACGGCAAGATTGGCAGTTCAGGCTCACCGGCTGCTTCTCAGAAACCCTATACAGGGTCATTATGAGCCAGAACTGACTCGATGGCACTTAGCAAGAACATCAACAATTTCACTCTGTGTAATGGCCTCCATTTTCATCAATGCAGATACATCATTATTCTCAACATTTGTGTAGTAGTCCATTGTGCGTAAGTACCAAAGTCTATCCATTTGTTTATTTACCAGCAATGTAGGAGGGTCTCAGTCTCT